CTTCTGCACAGAGTGCCCTGACAGGTTCATGCAAGGCTTAGCACCAAAAGTGCACAAGAATATGGTCCCCCCTGTAGGTGATGGACCAGTTCCTGGTCAGGCTCTGCCTTCCAAATGGGTTTTCTTTTGTTTTTCAGGTTTCTGGAAAACAAGGTGATAAATAAAATTATTTCCTTACTCCATACTCTGTGGCTAACAAATTTAGGAGACAAGAGAGAAAGAAAGAATCAATCCCAGGAGAGCAGGAAATTTCTTCCTATTCAGCTTGTAAATGAATTTCTGTATGTTTTGATCACGTTAATCAAACACATTCGGTAAGTCCTTTGGTTTTGTTTTTAATCGGTTTGCATCTCGTCCTCTCTACCCTTTGAAAAATGTCTTGATCTCTGGTAGTTCCATGCTTTTTTTCACCTTCTGTTTGGAAGTTGAGTACTGAATTTGGATAGATTTCTTTGACAGGAAGGTTTAACTGTTTGATGACACGGGGAATAAAGTAACATTTGATGCACAGTTGCTGTTAAGTTCTGCATCCTTAATTCCTGACCATATGGACTGTAAGGGGAAAAAACCTTGTACTTATTTTATTGATTAGCACACAGAAAAATACATGGCACTTGTGTTTTCTGTTCATAGGACTAATCTCGATCTGGCCAAGCTGACTCAGTTCTTCAGCACCCTCAGTTCTGTGCTGGAATATCGTGCTGAGGTTGTTGAGGCCTTCAGGGAGATGAGGCGTTTCACGGTGAATGAGGGTGTCCTCTCCAACAGGGAGGTGCTGCTGCTGCTGCACAAGTGGAGCCTTATCGACAAAGACTTGCAGCTGCAGGAGGACCTGCAGGCCCTTGCTCAGAAATACCAAATCAAAGAATTGCTCAGTAAGTGCTAAAATATTTCAGAGAAGGAAGACTTTGTTGAGGCTGTTACAAACCAACTGTATAAGTGAGGCAAACTTCCCAGGAAATAGTGTTAATAACTTTACTTGGGTGATCTGATATGGCTTGGTGGAGGAGGAAGGGAAATGGAAAGCCATTTTTCAGGTCTTCCTTGCAGCGATTTCTAACTTTAACACAATTTGGAAGCTTTGGAGAAACACAGTTTTAAAAAGGGAAAGAGCTTTAAAATGAAACTTAATTGCAAATCTGGTATCAGGGTTTGAGAAACTGTATTCTTAAATCTCAAAAGAAAAAGCAGTGCCTGGAGGCTTCGTGCTCAAAGGTTTGAATTGTTCTCAGTGTAGTTGGGGGATCTGAAAGTGATACATGGGTAAAAATAAAGCAAGGGAAAATTAAATAGTTATCTTTTCAGTGTTTGAAGGAAGGAAAAATATGTCTAGACTTGTGTGACTTTTCTTGTGATCTCTGTGAATAAAATGTCCAAGGAACTTGGTGGTGAGAGGTGTTAAAACAACGCTGGTTTCCTGCAGCTACAACTGCTCTTGGTGCACATTAATGCTTCTATAGGTTTATTTAAATGTTCTGTATCAGTTTAATTATGAAAGTATCACATATTTAAGGGACACTGTAAAAGCTTCAGTTTTTCTGAAGTTTTTCACACCCTTTGAAACTCCTCAGAAAGACACAAAGAGAGTTGTTGTAGTGACATCTGTAACTTATTGTATGTGTGGGTTTAAAACACAAGGTGTTGCTCCAAGCCTTGAGGGCTTCTCTCACCTCTAGGCTGGGTGATCCTGTTCAGAGCAGTGTTCCAGCCTGGAGTCCTTGGGAGCTGCCCAGAGCCCATTTGAATGGCACAGGCTCCATGAGGCAGCAAAACGAGGCTGGTACTTACCCTTTTAGCTACTGAATCAACACAGGAGACCACCTTTCTTGCATAATTTTGTACCAGAAAAGTACATAGATAACTTTAGAGTATCTGATATTTCTTTTGGTGGTTTTCTTCTTACAGAAAATATTAAAGACAAGAACAAGCCCCAAGCCTCTTCTCGTGCATATCGTCACATTCGGAAAAAGAACGGGGTAGAAGAAGATGACACTGCTGCAGACCTGGAAGTGTCAGAGCTGGAGAAATGCAGAGACCATCTGAATTCCATATTTGCCCACTGGGAGCCTGTTTTCCCAGCGCCACCTTCCAAACAGGGAGGGGAGCCCCTCAGGCCCAATGACCTCGGGGATGACTCAGTCAGTCTCACCTGTGCATCCACTCTCACGGTCACGAAATGGCTGGTGAAGTCCATGGTGGAGTACAGCCTCAGTGAGCAGAACGTGTCACTGATGCTGCGCTGGCTCCAGGGTTGTGTCGTGCCACAGCCAGCGGCCATGCAGGATATGCTTAGGGATGAGACACTGAGGAAGAACCTCTTCAAGTTCTACACCCGGGTCTGTGAGGCTCAGCTCTCCAAAGAGCTCCCTGTGCTCAGCTCCATCATGCTTCAGCTCATGGATGCTCAGGGCCTGGCCAACAGCTTCCATGAGCTTGTGAAATCCTTGTGCCTCTCAGCCACGACAGAAGAGGATGAGAACAAGAAAGGTAACTTGTCTCTTCCTTATCTCTCTTGTTACAAGGCAGTAATGGGAGGAAGTAGGGAGTTCCATGGGTTTTTTTAATTCAACAGACCATTTTGAAGTTTGCCCACGTCCACTGGAGCTCATAACCTTCCAAGGTAGAAGCTGTATATGTGATGGGATGAACTCAGGGCGGGCAACACAGAGAAGGGTCACACTTGTGGGGCTTTCTGACAGTACAGCACTCATATTTCCACAAAGAAACTTCCCTTTCGAGGACTAGAATGGAGTTCGGTTCAAAAAATACCATTCCAAGGGGAAAAACAGTCTGCAACAAACAAGTCCATGTGGTCATGGGTGCTGATCCATGTACTGGTCAGTGTTAGCAACTGACAGATTTCAAACTGTTTTATTTAAGGAAGCTGACAGGAAACTGGTTTGTTTCCTTCGTGTGAGGGGAGTCATTGGCTTTGCATGGGAAACCCCCCCCCAGATTTTCCATCTAGGGAAACAGGAAACTATTTTAAACCATAAGTCTGGAGGTAAATGGTTTGATATTACTGTGTGGAAGTATCTGATTTCTCTTAATTTGTCTTCCACAGCTGTTTGTGTATTCCTGACATCCGTTTACATCAAGGACATGTGGCTTGGAGCAAAGGAGCCAGATATGTTAATAACTCATGTCAGATTGATCTGCACTAGTGCAGATGGTGAAATAAACAGTGATGACTTGGAAACTCAGGAACAAGGAGAAGAAACTATTATGTCTCTTTGCAAAACCCTTTACTTGGCAACATCAGGGCATTAATTCAGGGAACTGACTCTTAATCTTTAATGTTCTGTGCTCTGCTATCATTGCTGTGAGCCGTGAAACCCTCCTGAGCTGTCCCCATACAGACCTAACTGGTTTGGTCATAAAAATCAGTATTTTATTATTGTTTACTGAGCAAACTCAGAGGGGGAAAATTGTATTCATTGTCTCTCAGTGGGACATTAAAGTTCCAATGGGGGAAAATTGTATTCATTGTCTCTCAGTGGGACATTAAAGTTCCAATTTCCCTTTTCTTGAACAGTATGGGAACACAACATTTATATAATTTTTATTAAGGCATTTTTAACTTTATGAAGAACCAAAAAGACTGTTTCCTGCACTCTGGATTTGTGTCCAGATACAGTTCCAGTCCCTGTGTCATTAAAGTCTGTCCTCTCTCCAATATAAAATGGGGAAAAAAGGCTGCAGAATGTCCCACAATGTGGTGTAAGTGCAAAGAAGGAGGAGCTGGAGGTTTAGCTGTGATGATTTACTATTTCTTGAAGAACCCAGTTTATTTCATACCAAAACCAGTGTGAATAAAAGACTGAACACTGGAATCATGGTGGTCTGTGATTCTTCTTGGTTTTAAATTATATGGCTTTTGAAAGCATTTATATCAGAGCTGGTCTATTTTTATTATCCTTGTTTTTTCTTAAATTAAAAAAAGCCCTGACCATCATGGCTACTGGAACTTGCAGCAAAGGCCCATCTTCTCTTCACTTGGAACTGGTGAGAGATGGAACTAAACCCCAAGGGATTTGCTGCTAATTGATCATTTGTGGGTTTTAGTGGGAATTCTCTGTGAAATCTGATAGATAGTTCTGGAATGGGGCCTGGAGGGCAGGTGAACACAACAGTCCAGATCTGCAAACACGCAGGACCTGAAGCTTTGAAATGTAAACCAGGATTTAGTAAATTGTCTCACAACTACATGCTGTGCCCAGGTCCTTTGTACAAATTCTGTAGAGGGAAAAATCAGAACTGCGCATTCCTTGTGATGTGTATTGAATTTGTTGTGGTTTTTAAATAAAAAACGTGAGACACAAGTAATGAGATTGCTTTTACATTTGAATATTCTTGTCCTAAAGAAGCTGTCAGCTCTGTATCAGGACTTGAGTTAAAAATAATATTTCTTAAAACTGAAAGCCCCTTGGAGGCTACATTTTGTTTCAGGGGGCTGACATCAGGAAATCTGTATGAAGAAAAAAAACCCTTGTTTTCCTTGCTTACAAAAAACAAACAGGCACAGTGAAACCAAAGAGTTCCAAAACAAAAGATGTCTTTCCATTTCACCTAACTGTCAAAGAAAATACCCATGACACAAAGGGAAGGGATTTTTTGGTTGTCTTGAGGGCCTTAGCACACCCCGCAGTGGTTTATAATATGATATGTTGAGATAATTAAAGAAATGAGGTAAGACCATTCCACCAACCCAAGGATAAGGAGGGATCACAGTGTGAATGTGGCACTTGGGGACGTAGGTTAGTGGTGGCCTTGGCAGTGCTGGGGAACAGTTGGATTTGATCTTAGAGGGCTTTTCCAGCCTAAACAATTTCATGATTCTCTGATTCTAATGGAGGACTCTGAGGGCAGGGGAAATAAAGTGCTCCCTGTGGAAAGCAAAGCACTGGGAAGCTTTGAAATGGGTACATATGGAATGTCATGGGAGCAAATGCATTGCTCCCCCCCTCCCCTGCCCCCAAGTTGGGTGCTATAAGCCAGGGTTGTGTTTTGTATATTATTTATTATTGTTTATATACTTCATACTGTATTTCCAGGTAATTTGAAAGTTAAAAAATAAAAAAGGTCTTTTTTAGTGGTTATGTGCTCCGAGCCATGTTCCAGTGCAACCCATGGAAGAACACCTGTTGTCATGAATGAGAGTATCCACATCTTCCAGAAATCCCCTTGAAATCCTCTTGTGGAGTGGAGGATCTTAAAAAACAGGGTGATACAAGTCTGTCCTGAGTCAGGGAGGAGGATACTGGAGCAGGCAGGCCATGCAGAACTGGTCAGGAGAGAGGTTCCAGCTGAGAGCATACAGGTGGGGCAGGAATGGTTGAAGTTGCATCCTTAGGAGGAAAATGGGTCTGGATGGTCAGGTTTTCTTCAGAGTGTCTTTGATGACGCTGTGTGACTGCAGTGGACTTACTATTGCAAGTAATTCCCAATTTGCAGTGGGAGAACTTGTGCCAGCAAGGGAGTGGATTCTTGTCTCCTGTGAGAACTCCCTCAGCTCTGGCAAAGGGTGAGGGGGCCCTGAGAGGAGGGGGAGGCTGTTGTGGCCATCTGAGTTGGCTAATGGAAACACTTGGCTCTGATACCTCTGTCCATGCTGCACCATCAGTTTCTGCAGCCTTTCCTCTTTCTCCACGCTCAGTGTGGAAAACCACCCAGCAGCCTTCACACGTGGGTGGGTTTCTGAGCCCAGCACCACTCACAGTCAGTTTGCTCACAAAGCAAACTGCAGCAGTGTCTTATCTCTGGGGCTAAACAAATCTGAAGATTTAAAAAACAGACCAGCAATACAAACATCTGCCTGGCAGGTTTGGTCTGTCTCTTGTGTTCAAGGCTTTGATAATGCAGCCCAACCCACCCACCCTGGCATCATCCTGGCCCACACTCCCACATGAGGCTGCTCTGGCAGTGCTTCTCTGGAGGAGTTTTTGCTGCCTACTTGGGAATGTGGAATTTCTATGCTTCTCCTCAAGTTTCAAATAAGTTTTGTGTTGTACTCAGCCCAGGAACTTGCTGTGCAGCTTTACCTCTCTTCCAGCCCTCGCTGCCTTCCTCAGCCTGACTCTGCAGACCAGCTTTGTGCTTCCTGGAGCTCTGAGGGCACCTCAGCCTCTCCAGTTCTGCCTGGGTTTGGTGGGGAGGAGAGCTGGGAAGAGCCAAGGCCACTGAAGAGAGAGGTAATGTGTGTGTCTCTTCTGACTCTGCTCCAGCTGACCTGGACCCATGCCCTCCACGTCACTGAAACACTGCCGTGACCCTCAGCAGTTCTGTCAAACTATTCATCAACCTCGTGCAGAAACGTAGTGTTGATTTGGTGGTTTTGCCAGCATTTTCCTTTGATATAAAATACATTCTCTTGATTTATGACACATATTCCCTTTTTCCAAGACCTTGGTAACTGGCAGATACCATTTCAAGATTGTTCAACACTGACAGTTTCTTTACCATTGACCATTTCAAAAGGGAAGCAAAAAGCAATTGGTTGTTGGTAGCAAAACTGTATTTCCAGGTAGCAAGTAAAGTAACTTTTTATTCAGGAAGACATTCCCTTGAGATAATTAGTGCAAACCACCACATGCCATTTGCTTTTTAAAGGCTCTTCTAGATAGACAGTATTTTAATAAATTTTAAGTAACCAAGTATTTTTTTGCAAAAGTAAATAAAGGATATGTTCCATTCTTGGGGCAAGTGCTGAGCCATTTTACTCAAATATGGCCTCCTCTTATGCATCCAGGGTTTTTCAGGTTTGTTCTTTGTTGAAAGACATTGTCCTTTTTCTCCTGAATCCAGGTGATTAAAAGGCAGTCACAGCACTGAGCTTTTCTCTGCAGCCATGGGAACTGTGCTGCTGGGTTGGTTTGACCTCTTCCAGTTTTACCTCAGGCTCAGATCCTTCCAGGAATGCCCATTTCATCCAAAAGGGAGATAGGTGTTTAAGTAGCAACCACATCTGAGTATGGGCTCCTGAGGTCATCACAGTGAGGCTGTTCCCCATTGGAACTGCTTTCTTCCATCTGGCTCCCTACAATCACTTGTCTGGAATGTGTGGACAGAAAAAAGTACAGCTATCAGGGATGTGTTTGGAAGAGAGACAGTCTCAGTTTCAACAGAAAGTACATCAAGTTTTAAGAAATAAAGAAGATGCTGCTTCTAACACAGAAGACATTGAATCCAGCATGAGAGAAGCTCTTGGACTTCAGCCTTCTTCATCCACCATGAGAACCATGTCCTTGCCTGGAAATGGAGTATGACCAACAGGAAAGGTATGAGGTGTCTCCCCTCTCTCCCTCAAGATGGGACCTTCGGTCCAGCCCTTAATTTGGTCCTTTAGTGAGATTTTTAAAGAGGAAAGTAGAAACTTTGCTGTGACTTGCTCTGTACCAAGGGTGAAGGGAACTGTCACTGCTGCTTCTGGGAAAGTGAAGAGGGATAAGAGCTTCCTGAGACTGTGAATCGGTGTCACTGGGGGCAAGAACAAGAGGGATGTGAGATATTTGGGAAGGATTGCCTGATACTGGGGTTGGGAAAAAAACAAGACACCGCTCTAAGGGCTGGTGGGGAACTGACCAAGGAAATGGGACAGACCTAGAAAAGAACAGATAGGACTCAAGTAGCAGGAAATTTCCAGTGTACAAACAACAACAACTCAAAGACGTGTGGTTCTGCCAGAAAAAGTGGTGGGGTGGAAGGGGTGATATGAGAACAGCAGAGTGCACCTGCCTCCTCTCCTCCCTGAGCCTTCTTGCCAGCAGTTTCCCAAACTTCACCCTTAAAAAGTAAATAGCAGATGAGTCCTGGCCTAGAAGCAGTAAGTTCTAGTTAACAGGGCTGAAGACAAGATCTCAACTACTACTGTATCCTTAGGCATTCAAAGGTGGTGAGGAAAATTACACTGGGAAGAAAAATGTAACCCGAAAGTGACAATGGAAAATTTTTGAAAAGCCTTATTAATGCCCTGGAGCCATCAGAAGGGAGAAAGAAGATATCTTGGACTAAAAGCAAGTGTTTCATTGGCTACATAAAGCTAATAACCAAAATCTAAAAAGCAAGATCAAGCAAATGGGAGAAAGTGAAATATAAACTTTATAACCACAAATTTATATTACTTGCAAATGAAAGCTTAAAATATCTGTGCCTGACAAGACTAGCCCAAGAGAGATTTTGCTTAATGGTAATTCAAAAAGCAGAAACAAAACCCCAAAGTCTCAGCAACAGGCCCATCACAGGTTTGGGAGTTTCTTTGTTATGCTGCCGGTGTATTCTATTACTTTCTCTTCTCTCTCTTTGACAGAAGCAAGACAAAAAAACTCTTACCAAAACAGGATGTTTCCTTTCCAGTCCATTAAGTAGCTAAATACCATCAGCTAGCTATCCATGTTTTAAAATCAGCTGGAAAACTTGCATCTCAGAGACCTAGGGACTGTCTGAGGAGAACTCTGGCAGGGTCTGTTAATCATTAGCCATCCCTGGGACAGCAGGGAGGTTGGAGGAGGCTGGAAGAGTTCCAGAGTCCCAGTACTCAGAGTACTCTAAGGCAGTGCTGTGACTGACCTCGGCCAAGACAAAAACACAGAATTAAATCTGAGATAAGATACAACTGAAATAGTGATTCAAAGGGCAGAAAAGCTAATTCCAGGCAGTGCAGATCTAGAGAAAGCCAAGTACAGTGAAAAATGTCTGATGTCATTTTTTGAGGGAAGCATGATTTGAAAGATAAAGGCAGCTTCATATCCGTGATTACTGTGAGGGTGACGAGGCACCACATCTAAACACTGAGTAGAGTTTCTTACTGCAGGAGATCTGTGTGGAGCCAGCAGAGCTCATGCTGCCAGGGAGCCCAGGGGCCCTGGAGTGAACCTCTCTGAGAGCAAGAGGCTGGCACAAGGGATGAGATAGAGAGATCTTCCAACTCTCTGGGCACCCAACTCGTGGGGTTTTTTCCAACATTACACCCAACATTATGTGGGTTTTTTTCCAACATTAAACTGTAATGTTTTTCCAACATTACACATTTTCTGGACAGCCAGAAAATTTGGGTTGTGCACGGCTGCCAGGAATGTATAGCCTCCAATGAAATGCATGGGAGACCAGTGTTCCTCTGGAGAGGTCCAGGAAGGAACTTGCCCTGTCCCCCTCCCACTGTGTGAAGGTCCAACCTTAGTCAGGAACTGTCTCCAGCCACTAACCCTCACTTTTCTGCATCATTTTGGATGGTAAGAAACACCACTGAAGCAAGTGTTAATACTGGCTCTGGATCCCAGCAGTGTGATCATCAGTTGCCTTGGCATGCTAGTGGGTTTTGAAATCATTGGTCCCATGCCCCAGACCTTTTGTCTTATTTCTGTGAGATAATGTAATGGTGACAAAGGGGACTGGGACATGGATTCCACAACCTCCTCCCCTCTTGCATCTCAAACTCACCCAATAAGACTTAGCACCAAATTCTTTGGTATTGCAGAGCAATCTGTAGTGCAATCAGATCACGGAGTCGGATCCAGGACCTCTCAGTGTCTCTAACCAAGGATTAAGCTGTGGCACAAGTAGATATAGGCCTTTTGGAAGACATTTTGACACTGGCTTGTTTTCTGTGTGGAGATGCAGGTTAAAACCAGCAGACTCTGCTGTGGAGGGTGGTGTGCCCCTGCCAAAAGAGGAGACCTTGGTGTTGCATAGCAGTGGAAGAGATGCAAAAATTGCATCCAAAGAGGCAAGACCAGCAGGATGAGGGAAGGGATTCTCCCTTTCCGCTCCACTCAGGTGAGACCCCAGCTCCAGGTATGGGGACTACAACACAAAAAAGACATGGAGCTGCTGGAGACAGCCCAGAGGAGGCCATGGAGATGCTCTGAGGGCTGGAGCAGCTCTGCTCAGGAGACAGGCTGGGAGAGCTGGGGGTTTCAGCCTGGAGAAGAGAAGGCTCCAGGGAGACCTTACAGCCCTTTCCAGTGCCTAAAGGGGCTCCAAGAGAGCTGAAGAGGGACTTTGGACAAGGGTCTAGAGGGACAGAACAAGGGGTAATGGCTTCCCACTGCCAGAGGGCAGGGTTAGATGGGATATTGGGAAGAAATTCCTCTCTGTGAGGGTGGTGAGGACCTAGCATAGGTTACCCAGAGAAGCTGTTGCTGCCCCATCCCTGGAAGTGTTGGGGTTGGACAGGGCAGGTTGGACAGGGCTTGGAGCAACGTGGTCTAGCGGAAGGTATCCCTGACCATGGCAGGAGGGTGGAACAAGATAAGCTTTAAGGTCCCTTCCCACCAAACTCATGCCATGTTTCTGTGATTCTATGAAAATGTAACCTTCAGGGACACCCCAGGGATCTAGCTGACCTGTGGTGGGGGTTTGCTCAACATTCCCCTGAAGCACAAAGTGCGCTCATAGGACCCACCTGGCTTGAAAGCCGGCTCCTCTGACCTGGCCCTGAGCAAGCTGGGAGAGCACACAGTACCCTGCATGTCCCTGGGAGTGACAGAGAGATGGATGAGAACAGAAATGGTGAAGGTAAAAGTTCTCCAGCCTTGACCAGTGATGTGTGTGTGTGTTTGTTGGGTGAATGTATCAGAATTATCACAGGGAAAGAGACAGATATCGGGTGACTGTCATGCCAAGGGTAAGGGATGGATGACATAACAAAGAGGATGACAGGGGAGGCTGGTGGAAGTTTACAGTAATGATTTCTTCCAGATACCCCATTCGGTTTCGTTGCTGGAACTGGGAGAAGGGTAATTGAAGTGGGGCTTAAAAACCAAATGGAACTCAGTCAAAAAGGGCAAGTTTTGTGTGTGCAGAGGGATGTTGAATACTCCCTTCAGTCTTAAAATTGTTTTCTTACAGTATGTTTCAAGCTTAGAAAAATGAAAAGTCTAAGCAAATCTCATCCAATAGTGCTTTTCATTAATGATTCCTGGGCACTCCACAAAACATTCCTAGACTTGCCTTGTTCACAATAGCTCTTTTGAAGGCCAAAATTGAACATATCAAGGATAAATACGGATATTTTTAAGCCAAGTATTTAACTTAGTAACATGATGAAAAAGTGAAAAAAAATCTTAAAAATCAATACTTTAAGTCTCACAAACACACTGAGATTTTCATGTATACAGACTTCTGCCATTTTTTTAGGAATAGTAAATTACTGGGAACATACCTCTGCTATCCTGCAATTTTATGTCCATTTCCATGTTTCTTGTGTTGTCAGCCTGCCTCCTGCTTTGTGGTTTAGTTGGGTAAGCTGCCTTTTTTAATGTTGTTGCTCCTTGAGAAACCAATGGATTTGAGCTGTGTTATGTCACCTGCAAACCTCATCAGTTCTTTTTCTGCAGGTGATTTATGCAAACAGTGAATGGCTGTGGGTCGAAAGACACTCCAATCCAATAATTACATAAAGAGTGTCATCTCTGTGCAATTATAAATGTTGTATGTGATTGCTGGATCATTCAAGGGAGTGAAAGTCTCAGGTTATTTTATCACACTGATCTGCACTTACTTTATGTCTGGTTGTACTTACTTTACTGGAGTTGATCCGGAGCGGGACATACACAGTAAAATAAGAAAAAGTAACGTCACGAAGGCAGCAAGTCCGACCCAAAAGGCGATGACAATGGAGTCTGTGGACACAACACAGTAATCCTGTCACCAGTACCACAGCAAATATAAAACACAGTAATATAATTTATGGTCTCTAATAAAGGTGTATCACTTGATTGGTTCAATTTCTTTTTTTAGGGAGAGGCATCTGAGTGCCAGTTTGTTAGTCATGAGAGCCTCCTAACAGTTTATTGTAACAGGGCAAGGCCCAGGCTGAGGGATGGATTGGGAAAAAGCATCCAGTGAGTATGGTGGTGACTAGAGCTGTGTAGATATTTGGATATGGTTCCTTTTACATAGTCACAGTGCAGGATGCAGTGTGGTGCTGAAGCCTGAGCTGTCACTGCCAAATCCTGATTTTAGGGGAAAAAGTACAACCCAGGATCTTCAGGGTGATGCCCACGGGTAGGGAATTCCAGCCTTGAAAGAATTTTATACCAAGAGAAATACTAAGGAAAGCTTGTTGTAAAGTGTCTGTGACCCTCACAGCACATCAGTGCAGTGGAAGAGGATGTGACCCTTGCCCTGTTCAGCTGCAGTGCTTCTGTAATCATCATAAAACAGTGCAAAAGGCTGCCTGCTTTATCAGGACCAAGTGGTTTCTTTAGGGAACAAGCAAGAGGATTCCCAGTGCCAGAGTATGTGTTCAAAATGAGGAAATGGGAGTATGAAGTGGCTGGGGGAGTAAAGGAAGCTGCTTTTTAATGAAGGCTACAGTGCTGTGTGAAGTACTCCCTGAGCCATGGGCTTGCTCAGAGATGGGATGAATCCACTCCTGCCCCAGGAGCACATTTGGTCACTGTTTCAAAAATGCTCCTTCCTGGGATCAGGGTGGTGGTGGCCAGTGCCCAGGTAAAGGCCTCGGGAAGGTTGGGTGCTCTGCCCTGAAGTCACAGCTGGCGACTCACTTCCACTGGGGTGAAAAGGAAGGGTCACTGACTCCAGAGACAAATATTGACCAAGACAAAATAAATCTTTCCTCTGAAAGGACAGAAAACACTATGTTCTTTGAAACAGGTCCAGTATGTTTGATTGGATGTTTCTTCTGTGAAGAAGTTCATCAGAGCTACAAAGAGATTAAGGGAGTTAGCCCAGCCCCTTTTAAACCTCAAACTGGGGCTGGCCCAGCTGTACCCTTATCAGAAAGCTGAGTTTTGCTGGGCTACTGAGAAATATCAGTGTGGAGGGGCAGCTTATTTATTCTTCCTCTGCTAAAGAAAGTTTTAATGACCTTTAATTCAGAGAACGTTAAATTAGCATGTGAAGGCCAATATTCTGACATGGTCTTCACCAACTTATTACAGAAAAAAGCAACGGGGTGATAGTGGCCAACCACAGCTCCTCAAGGGAGAATTAGGGGACTTCTGGTAAAAAAAAAAAATCTAAAAAGCAAGGTCATGACCCCAGGATATATAGAAAAGCCCAAAGTTTTAAAGTGTTCAAAGCCACTGGGACAGAAATGAAGAGTTTGGATTTATAGAATTCTGTATCAGAACTATTTCAGTTCCTTCTTTTAAGAGCAGATTTAATATGTTTCATGGAACTCACTGAGGTATAAACTTACTCTAGGTCTCAGGGAGAGTTTGAATCAAAACTTCCTGGTTTTAAGTTCTGCAATTAGGATATTTTTTTAAAAAAGTGGAATAATATATTTTAACAATCAATAAAAAGCTTTCCTATTGCTAAATTTTACCATTACCTTTTTTGTGTGTGTGTGCATGTTTTTAAATAGCCTATTAGCTCATGGGCCAATTAAGCTTTTTAATTATTTTTATACAAAATGGAGAGAGCTGCACAACATTATTAATAGAAAACAAGACCACGATTTTACAGCTGGATTTAGATGCATTTTCATGGAACAAACAATCTCACAAAGCTTCAGGGACCAGCCACATAATGGAGGAAAGGAAGTGCAGAGATTCAGGTCTCTGTTTTACATTAAATAAAAACAACCAACAGGC